AGGGATTTGATATTGTTTCCCCACTTTCTCCCCAGGGCTGGCTGACACGTTGTAGATATTCAATAAAAATGGACTGAATGAATGATTTTCTAACTGAAATCAACAAGCATGCATTGAGCCCCTATTCTGTTTTTCATAGAAAATTGCTGACTTTCAACATATTTACTTGCAGGTTTTCTCTGTTAGTATTCATATAAATTTAGACTTACAAAATTGGGGTTGCATTATATATCTTTTTGTAGTTTGCTGTATTCTCAATGCTGTATTCTGAACATCTTTCCATGTTATTAAAAATTCTTTAAAAAATATAATAGCAGCATAATATTCTATCTCGTGACATACTTTAACCATTTTCAAATTGTTAGACAGTTAGGTTGTATTAGTTATCTGTAACAAAGTACCCAAAAACTCAGTGGCTTAAAATGAGAAACATTATCTCACAGTTTCTGTGGTGTAAGAATCTGGGAGTGACTTTGGCTCAGGGCTTCTCAAGGCTGCAACCAAGATACCAGGTAGGCTGCAGTCATCTCAAGTTTCAACTGCCAGGGAAGACCCACTTCCAAACATACTTGGCTTTTGGCAGAATTTGGTTCCTTGGTGGCTGTTGGCTAGAGACATCAGTTTTCATTCTCTCTCTGCCTCTCTTTTTCTCGGTATTTATATCCATACCTAAACACATACCTCTATCTATCTATCTATCTATCTATCTATCTATCTATCTATCTATCTACCCATCCATCAAAAAGTTACCAAGACAGCACTCACAGTGTCTTTGTAATCTAATTTTACCTGCTGTACTCTATTCATTAGAAGCAAGTCAGTAGGTCCATCCCACACTCCAAAGAAGGGGATTACATAAAGGTATGAATACCATGAGGTGGGGATCATTTGGGGGACATTTTAGAGTCTGCCTACCATAGTTCTTCCCCCAATTTTTTCTACTAACAGTGCTCTTCTGAATACCTTATTACCTAATTGTCTTATTACCTGCATTACAAATGATCTCCTTATGATATATTTATTGACTAGAAGGATAAGACATTGTAAAAGCTGCTAACACATGCTGACTAATTGCTTTCTAGAAAGTTTCCTATCATCAGTGTATGGGAACGTCCATCTCAACACATCTTCATCTTCATCATTGTAAAATGTTTTGCTTATTTGATAGGTTTCTCCTTTTGATTTGCATTTGAGATTAAATCTTTTTTTGTTTATTAGCCATTTATATTGTTTTTCTTTTATGAATTTTCTATTGTATGTTCTTTGCTCATTTTTCTATTCAAGATTTAGTGTTCTTACCAATTTGCATGTTCTTCACATATAAAGATATTAACAACGGGTAGGATTTTTTGCTAACAGTTTTATTGGGGTATCATTTACATATCATACTATTCATCCATTTAGTGCATATGATTCCATGCTTTTTAGTGTATTAATTCATCTAATCCATGGGGAAATAATGCTGAATGTTTTGAATATTTCAATTAACACATAATAGCTTGAGGAATTTTAAATATGTTCATTAACTGTTTCTCTGGAGAAAGGTGATACATAAGTCTTTAGTAATTTCATGGTCATTTATATTGTCAATTAAAATATAGTTTTTTTTTCAATTCCTGCTCATACATTAATTCCACACATATCTGTGAAGCTCCTACTATGTGCCAGGCACTGTCCCAGGCCCTGAGAATACAGTGGTAAAAACAAAGTCTTTGTACTCAAGGAGTTTATATTCTAATAAGGTGAAATATTAAAAATCCATTCATTTAACAAATATTTATTGAGTCCCTGCTCTGTGTTTGGGATGCACTAGTGAACAAAACAAGCAAAAATTCTTGTCCTTAAAGAGCTTACCTTCTAGTGGGAAAAGACAGACAATAAATAAACCATGAACAAAATAAAAAGGAAAGTCTATAGTTTGTTAGAAGGTGATGTGTTATTGAAAAATAAAATAAAGTCGTTAAGGGAGAGTGAGCTGAAATTGCAAATTTAGATAAGTGATCAGGGTTGGCTTCATGAAGAAATGGAAGATGGTGAGAGAGTTGAACTGTGTGGACACTGAGGGGGGAATATGCTGTTCCACTGGCCAATGGAACAGCCAATGCAAAGGCTCTGATGCAGGAGTGGTCCTGCCAGGAATAAGGACAAAAAGGAGTGGAGTGAGCAAAGGCGAAAATAGGAGGAGATAAAGTTAGAGGGGGGGGGGGAGAAGGGACAGATCATAGATCTCATAGGGCATTGTCCTGTGAAGAGGCCACCATTCACATCTAAAAAGAAACAAAAAGTACTGAATATATTTCTTGCTACACAAAGGACATCTGCATTGTGAGGCAGGGTATCTCTGAACAAAGAAATCTGTGGTCTGACATAGTGTTTTGGGAAGCATGAGGTTCAGGGAGTAGTACTTTTAGAAGCTGAACCATTCAGAGTTGAGTTGACTTTTAGCTAAGGAAGCAGGATTACTGGGGTGTAGCTATTGCTGAGTGGCTAATTTCTGAAGCCAGGGGCTCTCCCTGATTGGGAGGCTGTCATTGATTAATTAATTTAAATAGATTCTGGTGGTTGCTTGTACTATGGCCAAAGAACAATTAATCTTTTCCTTTGTTCAGCTTAGAAGGATCACTCCGGCTGCTGTGTAAGCCAGGGTGGAAGCAGGGACACAAGTTAGGAGGTAGGAGGTGATGTGGCTTGAACCATGGTGGTAGTAGTATGGGTAATAAGAAGTGTTCCCATTTGGGATATACTTATAGTCAACAAATAAACAAGATAATCCAAGTAAGCTTAGTGTATTGGAGTGAACATAATATTTACCTTCACATAGGATGAGATGACTGGATGACATTATAGAGAGTAATGAGGTGTCACTACTTGAGGAGTCAGAGAAAGCCTCTTTGAAGAGGTGGGACCTCAAAGATGAAAGGGAGACAGTTAAGAGCTTAAGGCAAGAGCTTGGTGTGTGTGTGTGTGTGTGTGTGTGTGTGTGTGTGTGTGTGTGTGTGTAGCAGCGCCAACACCAGTAGTCTAGAAGGTGGTGAGGTGGGGGTGGGGAGAGAGGCAACCTAAAGCCCAGATCCTTTCAGGCCTTTAATGCATAGAATGGATTGAGAAGGGGCAAGAGTCAAATCAGGAAGTTGGAAACAGGGACAACACTATAATAGACACTGTCATCATGGGACCCTATGAGGCCTCATTAAAGTAATACTGTAAAATCCAGCTGAGGCGTCTTCATTGGGCCAGAGATTTTGTTTTTCTGTTTGTTTGCTGAATTATGACTCATGTAATTGGTGGTATGAACTAAGGGGCAGCTGTGGTGTATGGACTGGAAATAAAGACAGACCCCTCTCCTCTGAACTCTGACTTTAATGCAGGGTCTAGATTAGCCATAATGTCTTTCCCAAGACTAAAGTGTGATCCACCTCTCTCTCACCATGTGAACAAAATGGTTAATATTTATTGGGGCTTTCTGAATACAGGTATAAAAGGACAGGTTGTCCTGGGATTCAAGTACAGAGAGGCTGTGGACTAGGTCCCGGTCACCTAGAATTAGCTACCAAGGGTAAGGAGAGTGCTTTATTCACCTTTGTAGCCTGGGGCTCCTCACACAGTGCTTGGTAAACAGTAGGAGCTGAATTTTGTTGAATCTGAATTAAGCATGAAGGTTAGATCAACAGTACTGAAATAATACCATATTAACTCAGAGTAAACAGTCACTTTACGTCTTTTGGTTCACCATCCAGTTTGTGGATTAGTCATACTTCTCTCAATTCTGCTACTGCGTTTTTGGTTTTTTTATATTTCCTGCCTTTGAGCACATCATTTCACTCCTAAAACTCTACTTTATAGGTAATCATGGAGAAAGGGAGAAGTGAAACACAGGCCAATTTTACTCTTTTTTTTTTTCATTTCTAATAAAAAATTTTCCATTTTATTTAACGTTATTAGTTCCTTAGGGAAACAGATTTACATTAGTTGTTTTCACCTTCAATTTCCTGAAGGTAGAACAAGCCTCACTGGAATTTTTGTTGTTGCTTTTATTGTTTTGGTGAGAAAATACTTAGCTTTTTGGACTCCCCCTCCCCCCCCTTTTTTTTTTTAGTAAATAAGTTTTTAAAAGTTTGATGGAGATTAAAATTCATGTCCTATAAAGATCTTAAGATAATGAGCCAACTTTTATTTAGGGCTTTCTATGTGTGTTGACTTTAGGTTAATTCCAAACAAGCCTAAGCAGTAACTAGTAGTACCTCCATTATGGAGGTGAGGCAACTATCAGGAAGAGGTAAAGCAATTCGGTCAGGCTCACAAGCCGGTAGGAAGAGCTGGCATTCCAATCAGGGGGTCTGATTCCACAGTGGCACTGCTCCCTACTACTGTTGGAATAATTTGGAGACTTTTCATTTGTCTTTGCTTCCTTAATTGCTCCAGAAAACTTAAAATATGCGGAGAAGCAATAGGAGCCCTATAAATAAAACATGTCTATATATTTTTAAATGATTAAAGCTGGAAAGATGAACGTGGCACCAGGCCACTTGTTTAGTGGAAGTAAAGGGAAGGAGATTCCCGGCTCCCTGTGCAGAAATCCTGCCGCCCTTTGCAGCGAGTGGCTTCTGGCTCATCGCCCATCTGTGATGGTCTCAGCCCAGGGAAGTCCCACCCAGGCTGCAGCCGGGGAAAGTCAGTGAGGGAGCTTGGCTGCACCGAGGCAAGAACGGGCCATGGATTCCTGCAGCCTAAATGTCACCTGGTTGGGAAATGCCACATGTCGGGTTGCAACGACTATGGGGGTGGCAGGAAAGAAAACATTTTAAGTTCGGGGTGAAGGCTGGCTCGACTGACCAACCTGTTAAATCTGAGGCAGAGTACTGTATCTTTAGATAAAATCCGAAAACGCAAACACCCGAGCTCAGTAACCAAGTCAGAGGGAGCGTTGTATTTTGGCAAAGTTAACAGGGTGCACAAGGAAAACACGAGGTGCTGAAGGCGTTCCAGGAGCTAACTGCCGTTCAAATCCACCCAGTAGCTCGGGTGTCGCCCTGGCTGGCGGCTTCTGCCCTTGGTTTCCCCTTCTTAAAAAATCGAGGCGCGGGCAAGCTGCACTCAGGCGGGTGAGACACTTCCACGTGGGGGACGGAGGGGGCTTTAAAAAGAGGAAGACCTGAGAAATCACGCTTCGCAGGGGCCTGGGGAAAGACCGTGGGAAGCAAGCCCGCAGGAACCTTAGCAGCGCGCGGGATCCCGGCCCTTGGAAGCCCCGGCACGGCAAACAGGCCGCTGCCCCTCCAGACCCGCCGCGCGTGGCCCACGGCCCGCTCTGCAGGCTCGCGCAGGGGCGGCCGCGGGGCTCCGGGGCCCCGGGCGGGGCCTCGGCAGGGGCGGGGCCGGGGCGGGGCCGCGGCGGGCGGGAGAGCGCGCGGGAGGCGCGGAGGGAGGGTGCCGCGCCGAGGGAAGCGGCTCGTGGCGGAGGGAGGGGAGGCCGAGTGCTGGAAGCGGAGCTCCGCGCTGGGACTGGTTCCTTCGCAGCCATTTTCTGTCCAACCAAACAGCCGATTGGAGACGGGAGCCAACCAGGGCTGCATTGGAGGTTTGTGTCTCGCTTCGGCCAATGATCGCTCCTAAACCGACTCCACTTTAGCTCGAATGAAATGTCCGTCTCCTGCCGGCGCCGTCCCCGCCGCCA